AGCTATATGGAAAGAGCCCAGCCCTGTGACTTCAGGTGGACCTTTTGTTGAAGAGATGAATCCCAGGGGCATTCCAAAGGCAGGCTTCCATGGCAACTGTGGGAAAAGCCCATCAAATAGAGCAGGAGAGTTGGTAAATTCTCCATTACACAAAGTCTCTTCCAGCAACTGTGGCAGTACTGAAAACCTTCCAGATAAACCCCGATTAAAATGTACATCAGCACAGGCAGCACAGCGTTCATTTGGGAGTTTATTTAACAGTCAAGCCTCCAGCTGCTTCCTACAGAAATCCAAAGCCATCCCAGTCTTTTGTGTTGAGAATTACACACCAGTTGTAACAGCTGTCCAGCACTCAGCTAAGTATGAATAAACATTTGACAGGTTAAATGACTGCCTTCCTGGCTGCTTGGCAGGATAAGGTGCATGGGGTTTTCCCACTGAAGCAGAAATCCGTGTTTTCACAGGCATTAGGAGCCACACAGCATCCCTGCACACGGATCACAAGAGGACACATGATCACCTGCTCGATGTAAAAGAAAACACCCTGAGAACCAATGTGGAATTAGAGTGCAGGAGTGAATCCCTAAAGGGGCTGTAAGAATATGCCAGCAGCTCCTCCAGTGGCAGTGGGAGGCTGTGGAGGTGACCCATCCAAGTACACGTCCTGAGAACAGAACAAATCCAGCTTCCTTCAGAGGAGACAGTTTGATATCCCAGCGGATACAGGGAGCCCGTGGTGCATTTCCAGCACAGAGCAGGTGGGCTTTCCTGGCTGCCCGGGCAGGATGAGGGTGGCAGGGTTCCACTAAATGGAGCAGGAAAAGCTTAGGGAAGCACCAGGCGGCAGAAGGATGACTTCTGGATGCACTGAGCCTACATCTGGGAGCAAAGAGCTGGCACCTAAACCACGCCCAGCCTTGGATCACCTGTGGCACAAACCATCAGACCACTGGCCCTGGCTTCTGCCGTCCTGCCGGGACAAAGCCAGGGATCACCTCCAGTCCTCTGGCTCCCTAACAGAGTTAATCATTGAGCTCTGGATGCAAAAGGCTTCCTAGATCCCTGACTCAGCCACTGTACGTGACAGCACTGCTATTTAGACCACAGCCGTGTTTTCCAAAGTTCCTTGGAGACTTGGGATTGTGAACTGCGCTCTAACCTTTGAAACATTCCACCCACAGCTACGCGAAATCCTCAGAGAACAAGCCTAGGGGCCCTTGCAAAGCAAACAGTCTGCAAGCCCTGCTTTCTCTCGGGCCCTCACACATCCCACCTTTCCACAAGGGTTCAGCTGATTTATCCCTGACAACCGAGAACTACAAGCAAGGAGCTATTCCTGGCCTTGTTCTGCCCAGAGGGAGCAAAGGAAGCCAGAGGTTCAGGAACACGCAGGAGGTCAGGGAGGAAGCGTGTGACAGAGGAAGGAGTTGCATTTGCCTTTCTAGGCCCAGGACAGAGTTTCTCACCACCCACTAATCCTTGACTTCACTGGGTGGGAAGGAAGCCAGAGCCAAGCGCTCTGGAAATCCCATCACAAGTGTTTCCTTCATTTAGATGTTTAATAGCGCTCACATCCCTGATGAAGACATACTTGCTACAGCCAAAGAAAACCCCACCAGCACTCTTTGAAGGAGAAATTAAATGCTTCATTAATTCAAAAATGGTTCAGATTGCAAATCAGAACCAGAACGTACAGGTCTAGAGGCAAGATTACCAATAATTCATGAGCAAAATGCTATGTTTATGCAACACTAAGGATGAGATTTTAATTGCTTATTACTCTAATTGATTTCATTCAGTTGTTATGGCAACTTTCTCCTTTTAGTAGGTGCACTACACCAGACACAGGCTCAGTGTGACGCTCCACAGCTGCAACACACTTTAAAATAAATAATTCTCATTGTCCACTGAGTATTCACTGATTCACATTTTGTTGGGCTTCAAAGCCCTGACAGCCACGTGGGATCGTAATAATAACTCATTCCCCTGTTAGTGCAAGCACAGAAGTGGCCCGAGATCATGAGGCAGTGCTGGTGTTCAGATCAACTGCTTCCTTTTCTCTGTTTCTCAGCCTTTCATGCTACAGTCAAGCACAGGGAGCTCCAAGCTCTGACAGGAACATCCTTCTTATTCCATCAGAGGAAAAGAGGGAGCTGTTAGAGACCAGGGTCTGAACACACTGACTGATTTATTCTGAACGGTTTATTGCTCTGTGTCACTTGTTATATGTCATCGAGTGGGGGGGGAAGTCAAACTCCCTGTTTAAAAGGCCATTATCATTATTTAATTATGGAATGACAGCTCACCGGGATCAGAAATGACTCCACGACTGATCCCTTGTGGCCCGGTCCAGCCACGGGAGAACAGAAACCCATGTTTCTGTTCAGCACTACACTTCCAATAGGTTCAGCAGCACAGGCAGTCACATCCCAGAAAACCTGGATATGCAGCTGGGAGCTGTCCCAGGGGATGGCTTCCCCACACAACCCTTCCCTCTCGGCCCCCTCCAGACCTGTTATGAAAGTGAGCACGTATTCCAACCCTGGAGCCTGCAAGCCTTCCAAGCCCCACCACGTGGTACCAGCAAGCCCCAAAACAGCATTTAAAGCCGTGCACTCCTCCGCCATTAAAAACAGGCAAAGCAACCCCCAAAATTCCCGTTCTTTGAAGGGAGCCAGGGCAAACCCCCTCGGAGGGATCCACAGCCCTCTGACCCGGCTAAATCAAAGTGGAGCCTAAATTATCAAACCACATTACGAAACCTGAATTATCACCGCACAAGTGAACCTGACAACGCTGCTCCAAGCCAGGACCAACTTAAAAGGGGGCTGAATGGCACACCTCAAGCTTCATTAATCTCCCAAGCTGTGCAAAGCCAGGGATATTGCCCACGGCTTCCTACCTTCCTAGAGCCCACCTACGCCACGCGCGCGTTCCTGCCGGCTCCCGAGCGAGGCTGCACTGAGGTGACCCAAGTGGGCACCTTTGAAGTGGGAGCTGAGCGTCTCTTTCATGTTCAAAGCAGCCAGAACAGGCAGCAAGCAACTGGTGCTCTGAAAACCTGGGAGCGAGCACTGGCAGGAGGCACACAGTTCCATTCTACCATCAGTTACTTACTAGTCAGAAGGGACTTCCACACACAGCTCCTCGTGCCAAGAGTCCATCATCCCTCACCTGTTGCACGTGGGAAGTGAGAACTCCTGCAGTGTGTTCCTGTATTTAGAAAAGCTACGAAGGCCACGAAGAAAATAAACCGAATCTTGTTGTTCCAGCCAGATATCCCCCGGAACATCCCCCCGGGGCAGGACTTCCCGTGGCAGACGGGCTCGCCTGGCACAGGCCATTCCCATCCGGTACTGCAGCCGCTCCCTTGTCTTTGCCAGCTGCTCACCAGCACCCCTGGGGAAGATGGAATCCACCTGCAGGATCACACACCCTGGACAGCAGGAAAAAAAAGTGACGGACCACCACTCGCAGCAGTTAACAAATACAGCACTTGGTTTATTTTTGTTCTCCACTGAAACAAGACTCAGTAGGTTCCTCACCCATGGACTCCTGAAGGGAGCAGAGAGACTTGCAGCAAGAAGTCTTCAGAGGTACAGTACTTATATCATACAGAGTACACAATAAATTACTATCTACATGCCACAGACCTACAAAAAGTTACATACAATGTAAAAAAATACAGTATTTTCTGTTCTTTTTTTAATTTTAAATTTTTTTCTGTACATTTTTTTTTTTAATTTACATTTTCATATACATTTTTTGTAAACTTTTTTTTTTGTGTGTGTTTTTAGAAAACTGAAATCACAGAACAGTTATGGACTTGAACAGCATCACTCTTACCTTCCTAAAGCAACACTTGCACCTGCAGAACAGTTTTCACCTTGTTTGCTCCTTCATTTCTACTTTGGCACCACACCACAACCTCACACCGTGATTCTGAGCTCGTTTAATCTGCTTTGGCCGTGTTCTCGCCACGGAGAAACGCCATCACACTTCAATTTGTGCTTTGATAACGAAGTTCAGAGGAAAAACCGTTACATTAACTACTTCACCATCACATTTACCTGATATTACTGCATAATACCAACTTCTCCTGCACTAACTGCTTCACATCAGCATGCAAACAAGTCTGATTATGACTCAATCAATAACATGAATATACTGAAAAACAACTACAAGGGTTAAATATTCAAAGGAATGTAGACTTAGCAGGGTTTACCATGTTAAGAAGTCTAAGCTAACAGCATGGATTGACATGTTAGGATTTGAAGACACTGAAGTATACAATGTGTATAAAACAGCCACGTTAAAGGAAACATGAAATTACTCCACTTTGTACTGTCTCATGTGGAAAACCATATTGACTAGAAACCTCCTGCTGACCACACGCACTCCTGGTGTGAAATAGGGATCCCTGAAGTTAATAAAAGCCATAAATTGCTACTTGGAGTACACAACTCAAGACCCTGCTGAAAAGGAAAAGCAGTTTGTGTTTGGCCCATTGGAGAGTAAATCATTCCAGCCTGGCAGTACGTACACACACCATTCCACACAACCTGCTCAGCCCGCTGGATCTAATCCCACGGCAGCAGGGAGCAGAGCTGCCCTCAAGGAGGACTCCAGGCCAACCTCCTGCTCAAAGCAGGGTCAAAGCTGAATTCGAGCCAAGCCTGAGTGTTTGTCATGTTGAAACCCAAGAACATCCCAGGACAAGGACTGCACAGCTCCTCCTGGGCCACTCCCACGCTCGACTGTCCCCACGGAGCACATTTTTTTTCCCCGTTAACTGAGCACTTTGTGTTTAAATTCCAGGAAAGCCTCTCGCTCTTGCTCCATTGCTTCCCAGTCAAGACCCTGAAATCAGCTCAGGTGTTGAGCTGCTGAGAGGTTTGGACCACCAGGTACAGGACTACATTCATGGCTGCTGACAACAGAGCTATACAAGAACTTTTTTTTTTTTTTTTTTTTTTTGCTGATCTGGGGACCTGAAAGTGTTTTAATTCCTTAAAATTACATCAACAAGAAAAACCAAGGCAGGCATTCAAAGCACTGATTTACCACAGCAAGTCTTTGCCTTAATACAGTTTACAGATCACCACCTTATTTATTATTGCCAAAAGACTCTACGGTGCATTAGAGACCTCAACCTAATACCGTCCAGACGAAATGCTAAGACCCACAGCTGAGAGTCTGCCACTTGGGTTTGGGGCTGAGTTCAAAGAAGAAGGTGCCCTCCAGGTCACAGGGAGGAGAACTGCTCAGGCTTTCCTCTCCGCTGCTCATGTCTTCACAGGAGTCTTCACTGGAAGGAACAGCGGGAAAGGTCATTTTAACAAAGCCTAGTGACAGGGAGCTGCCACCAGCAGCACGGGAAAAGGAGAATTCCCAACAAATGGACCAGGTGGTGACAGTTTTACCAACCTCTCGCTCCCGTTGAAACATCCCCCCTCCGGAATCGTTGGCAACTCGGGCACGCTGTAGTAGCTGTTCTGGAGGTTCTGGGCTGTTCGTCTGGAAACAATCCAAACCAGCTTCTTGTGGTCAGGCTTGCAGCACTCCGGGGAGGAATAGTCTGCCAGGCATTTCGAGACCAGCTCCCTCCAGTAAAGTAGGTCACCGTCACTTATCTGAAAAGAAAAAAAAAAAAAAAAAAAAACCAAAGAGCTTATTTGGGCTGTTACACATGGGCTCTAAAGACAACCCCTCCACTTCAACCCCTGGAAAAAAAACATCAGTCAAGGGAGAAGTGAGTCATGACTGTGATACCTTTGTCAAAGTTGCTTTTGAAGGTGAACTCCCACCAACTCCTACACACCTCCCAGACAAGGCCCTGTTCAAGTCTGAGTTGACAGTTTGCCTGTCAGTTGTTGTTAACATGTTCATTACCACTTCCCAAGGATAAAAGAAACAAAGGTTACTCCATTCTAAAACTGAATGAAGAATTCTAAAATTCCTTTTTAAAATGGAATAATACTGTCCTTTAAGGAACTGCTTCCACCCCTCAAGAAACTGGGGTTGTACATTCGTGTTTTTTCACACCTGACCACCCTCTGGGTGAAGAACCTTTCCCTAATATCCATCCTAAACATCCCCTGACACAGTTCCACACTGTTCCCTCGGGTCCAGTTATTCAGGCAAAAAAAGAATAACCAGCCCAGCTGTCCCTGCAGCCCCACGAACAGACTGGAAGTTTCTCCAGAACACACAGCCAGAGCTGTACAAGTTCAATCAGCTGCCTGTTAAAGCGTGCACTGTACAGGCACTGGCTCAGCAGTTCTCCTGACTATACATTGAAGCTCATTTTTTAATTGCTTCCTTCAGCTGATGCCAAACTGAACCTCTAAAAACATAGCTGGGGACCCACTTAAGGGGTCCATTAAATGTAACATTTCCCATCGCTAACAGTGTCCAGCAACTGGACAAGCAACTGGACAAGCAATCTGCTGGCAATATTTACCTTTGAATGCTTCTGAACACGCAGGAGGATCTCCAGCAGCTCAACAGATTTCAACATCTGAACTTCCAGAGTGAGAAGGCACAAGGCCAAGACAGATGGCTAAAAGGACAAGGAAACAGCACTCCATGTAAAAGGAATCATAACCATCATAACCCTACCCAGAAGTCAAAGGAAACCACTTCTACTTACTTTTGCTTTAGAGAAGACCAGACGGCAGTTGCAAGCTTTCAGCTGTGCTTCCAACTTGTCCAGATTCAATACTTCTTTCCTGTGAGACACCCAAGAGGAAAAGGAAGTGGATCAACAAGCGTTTCCTCCTCAGGGAGTAGAAACTGAGGAGGCTGTGACCCTTTGGGAGGGAATCAGGCGGGGCAAAAAGGGCTCACTCACCTTTCTGAGGTATGACAAAGTACAATAGTATGGTACAAGTGCAAGAAGGTTAAGGCAGTAGTAGCTTTAAATTCAAAGTGCAACTTTTCTGAAATGATCTTTTCCATCCGTTTCAGGTCGGACACAGTGCATTTACATTGGCTGATGCGGATGATCTCGTGAGCAGCGGGGATGTTGCATTCCTCCTCCACCACGCGGGCGGCCAGCTGGATGCAGCAAACTCCAATGCAAGACAAGTGCTTTGGCTTCACCTGAAAAAAAGCGCAGGAAGCACCGTGAGTACTTCCCTTCCCCATTAGCACCCTGATTACACAGCGACAGTGCCTGGAATATTCACAGTTCAGCAGGGGAGGACTTGCTTATCTCAACTAAAGCCGGCGTCAGCCAGCTCCTACACCGCCCCCAGTCCAAAGCAGTCCCAGCAGTGCAGCTGCAGCACAACCCAGCTGGCAGAGCCCACCAGGCAGCACCGCTCTGCCAGGGCAGAGGAAGTGAATTTGGACGGCCGAGCAGCCTCTGTTCAGGCTGTTCCACATCACCACGCAAATCCACTGCAGTGAAAGCTGCAATTCCTCACTTCCCCGAGCGGCAGTGCTCACCTTCCCTCACTGACAGCCCACACAGATCCAGTCTGAGCCTGTTCCAGGCAGCCCCATCCCTCTACAACTCGCTCCTGCCTCTGCTCTTCTCTCCCATCTGTTTTGTGCCCCCTCAAGGACAGACAGACCACAAACCTGATGCAACTTCAGTTTTTCTGCTGATTTAATAGCAGGGAACTGCTTTAGGTTCAAACTTCCTGGCTTAAAGCACCACAAACACGATAAAAACAACCAGGAAATTTATCATTCGGTATCAGTTCCAGAGCTAAGCTAAGCTTTAGCACAGTACCCAGAGGCAGACTGGAAGACAAATAGGCTTGTTTTTCTTAATTCCTCCTTTCTTAAACACCTACATGGAGAAGGCTACAACTTATTAGAGAAATAAATCAACCTGCTACTTGTCTTTAGAGGCAAAAGAACTGTACTCCAGGTTTCCAAAGGAGACTCCAGATCTGTTGCTAGCATAGAATGAATCAACATCCACACTTGTACCTTCATAAGAGCCAAGAATCTGTCCAGGATGTTGACAGCCAAAACAAATGTTTCGGTTGCAAATCCAAAGAAGTTGGTCAGGCTCCAAAGATCTTCCACCTTGGCATTCCTTTGTCTTGGACACAGAGTGTTTTCATTCTATGGCAAGAGAGACAAAGTCAGGATTATTCTGTGGCAGCAGCAGCACTGACTGTGACTACTCACTCCTTAAATCATCTTTTATTTACATCAAACAGAAGTTTTTTTTTTTTTTCTGGAATACTTTATTTCTCTTAAATATAAAAAAAAAATAAAATAAATTTAGTCACTTGAGATTCCAGTCACACCCGAGGTACTACTGAGGGTTACAGCCAGGTCCTGGGTCTCACCAGAGCAATAGCCAGCACAGCCACATTTCCAATTCTTATGTAAAGACATATTTAAGACTCCTTTACCAAGAGCAGGCATACACGGTGGCTCCTGACCTTAGAGATGACCACACAGCTCTCTGCCTGCGTGTCAATATTTAAGCAACAACAGTTCTGCTTTCACAACAAACAGGCAGACTCGTTTCAGGGACTTGTTTTTCTTAAACATTAAGGCCCTCCTCCCCCCAAAAAAGAACCCTCACAGGCACCCGATGGAACGTAGCCTGCCCCGAACTCCCGAGGACCTTTGGTCCTTAACGTGGCGATGTTTACGGCCACTTTACATTTTGCTGTCAAAGCACTGAGCGTTTCTTCTGAGTTCGTTTCCCCGGCCCTCGCTAATGAAAAGCCGCTTGACATCCCACCTTCCCTGCGGTGTGGCAGGAAACTCCCCTGATGAAAACAATACAGAGCCGCTTGCTCCTGTGCTCACTCTAAACCTAAACAATAAATACTAAACGCCTCAATGTTTTGCTTGCCCTGTAGGTTGCTGCAGCTCTTGGATAATACAACGTTAACACCTACGAATTAAGGCAGAGTTAAAACAAAAGGCAAGCGGTGCATAAGGAGAAAAGAATTAACTTCTCGCAGGTAACGCACGTCCACTATTAGCTCAAATTTTCTTTAAAACCATGCATTTTCTGTCCCCCCTCTCCCTCCGCCCCCCCTTCCAGCCCAGGGCCCGGGCTCCCCTCGCCCACCTCGGCGGCGGCCTCGATGAGGCTGAGCCCCTTCTCGCGGGGCTGGAACCGTCCCTCCAGCTCCAGGTGGAGGTTCAGCTGTTTGAAAAGCCACAGCGCCTCGCTGCCCATCTTCCCCTTCCTCCTCTTCCTCCTCCTTCTCCTCCGCACCGGGGAAACAAAGAGGCCCCGCAGACCGGGGGCGAGGGGGCGCCGGCCCCCCCCCGCGGCCCTTCAGCGCTCGGGGAGGGGGAGGCGAGCCCGGCTCCCGTCACCGCGCGGACGGGGGTGGGCTCGGCCGCTGGTCCCGCATCCAGGCAGGGCAGCCTGGACTCCCTCGGGGAGTCACGGCACCATCACAACACCGCCGCTTCGGTTGCCGCCCCCACCACGGCCCCGCTCCAAGATGGCGGCGCCGCGGCCCCGCCCACGCGTTTTGTTGTCGCGCGCGGAGCGATCCCCGCTAGTGAGGCGGCACGCGGAAGACAAGTAGTCCGCCCGCACCCGCGCGGCCCGGCGGCGCTCCGAGAGCGCCCGGAGCCCCGGGAAGGGTGGGATGGTGCCGCGGCCTTCCGGCTCGGCGGGGAGCGGGGCGGCACCGCGCCGCTCCGGATGGTGGGCGAGGCCGCGCGGAGGGACACGCCGAGAGGTCGCATCGCGCCTTTAAAGGGCCGCGAGCGGTGTTTTGAAGGTTTTGAAAAGACCGCCCAAACCTCCCGCGCCCTGATTGGTCCGCGCATCCCGGCCGGGTGGGGGGCGTGTTGTTTACTGGCGTCGATTGGCCGCCGGCCGGGCCCGGGGCTCTCCTGATTGGTCGGGCCAGTTCTGCCTCTGCCCCGCCCGCAGCTCCGGGCCCCGGCAACGGCGAGGGGCCCGCGCGCGCCCCCTCAGGCCACAGCGCCCGCGGGTCCCCGCACCGCCCGTCCTGCCTCGTCCCGCGTCCCCACGCAGGGTAAGGGTGAGCGCCGGCCTGCTTGCGGTCTTGTGTGTATCTCTGTGGGACCCTCCTCGTGCCGTCCCTTGAGGGTTCCGAACACCCGCCCGGATTTAAAACCCCTCCGTGTTCCGCTTCAAATCGACAGATTTATGTACAGCCTGGTGTGTGGGGGAGATTTTTTTTGGGTTGTGCACTTCCAAGCTTCCCTTCCCTTGGAGTGAATCCAAGGCTCGATGTGTTGGGAAGGAGATGGTGGGTCAGCCCCCTGAGTCAGAGGCTGCAGCAAAGACCTTCTCAGCCTGCAGCTTGACCCAATAAAACAAAAAACCCCATCGTCTGGAGGATTTGCGGGGCTGCCCCAACGTGCTCATGGACAAACACAAAGGGATCAATGTCCTAGGACAGACCCAAACCACAGCGACTGGGTGTATGTACACACTGGAGACAAAAGCCTGCGGAGGCGGCTCCGGCAGATTAGGACTGGGTTTGATCTAGTGAGGTTCCACAGCTCCAACAAACAGAAAATGTTTATAAAATGTCGCAGTCTGGGAAAGCAAATCCGCCTTCTCCACCGAGCCGTCAGCAGCGTTCCCCTGCCAAGCGCTATTTCGAGGCACAGTCCCTGCCTGCTCTGCCAGCAGTGACGGCCAACGCTTCCTTCGAGTTTATTTGGATGCCAAGCGCTCCGAGATTCCTGTAAACACGCATGACTTTTCCTCAGGGTAATTCCTGACTGGGGCCAGCGCTCCTGTAGGTACCACCAGCTACACCTGAGAATCCCTCTCGTCACACGCTGAAAGAACTGACACACCGGCTGATTTTTAGGGGGGGGACAAAAGCCATTGTAGCTTCTGAAGTGAGAGCTGTGGATCTGCTCCAGTTTGAACAACTGTTAATTGTTAAAAACTGTGAGTGGAACTGACCTCCAACCGGTTCCATGCAGTGACATCATCCAGGTGATGTTTACAGGATGATGCTCTCAGCTCCAGTCTCTGTTCTCCAAATGCCCTGAGCAGTCACTCCTTTTATTTCTCCTCCCATTCTGAAGTGTATTTTGCCACCACAGAGATGGAGTAACAGATGTTCTTCCTCCTCCAACACAGTGGAATGTAAGTTCCAGTTTACCTAAAGGACAGAAAAGGTTCATTTTGCAAGCACAGAGCGTGACAGCTCTAAAAATACCAATTCAGACACCTACCTGAACACATACATTCCTTTCCATTTACTAATTTAAAAAATTATCCTTCAATACGTCACGTAACCTGAGGGGGGAAATCTCTTATCAGAGCGTGGCTCACTTGCCAAGCTGGGAGAGAAGGATCCCTGCCTCATCTTTGTTCTTTGGTAATTAACTCAGTCGTTGCAAACAGCTGAGTAGGATCGACAGAAAAAGCCACCAAACCCCAAGGATCCGCACTGTAAGTGATGGACTCCAGCTTTGGGATTAAAACCAGGGAAAACGAGTCTGCTCCCTGTGCTGTGTGGACCTGGCAGAACAATGGAGTGTTGTGGGCAAAGGAGGAGCCGTGGTGAGGTCAGGAAACAAAATCTCTTGTTGTTTTGGTTTTTTTCACTTACGCAAGGAATAATTTTCTTTCAATGTGGCATTTATTCAGGATCCAGGGAAATGTGAATGGTGGTGGTGGGGGGAGAATGAGAAGTGTTTTCAGTATTCTGAGGAAACACAATTTATCTGTTCTGTAACATGCTGTGCTTTACAGAGCAGCAAGTCCTGCCTGGCGTTCTTTGGGAACCTAAAGATGCATGTCCCATTAAACTGGGATTATTTTAACCAGCCTTGCTAAACTGTCTTCCAGTGTGGCTTGGCAAAACTTGTCCTGGCATGCCTGCACAGCAGTTCCTCGGGAATAGCTCTGGATGGCTAGTGGCTGTGTATTGACTGGCAGGGGATGAGATCAGGGATGCTGATTGGGCCCTGTGGCATGTGGATTTCCTACCGGAATAGGATTACAACCTTCCTGATTAAGGGATGCAGAGTAATTAACACTCCAGACACAAGCAGTCTGCCCACTCTGGACACCCACGGAAGGAAAGGGGGTCACTCGCAACAACAGTTCCCTTGAACCACTTAACCAAAGAGCTCCACACCACTTACAGACACTAATTAATCCGAGTGCTCTGCTGCTGCCCCAGTCCCCCGGTATGCAGGACAGCAGCAGTGCTGGCAGCTGGGAGGCAGAAAGTCCCAGCGTGGCATTTTTGTACCAAAATGCACATATTAGAAAACACGTACAGAGGCTCCGTAGCTTTGTACATGTACACACAAGCAAGTATACGTATCTGAGAAATGTTTTGCGGATTTAGAAGCAGTGGGACCGGTGCCTGGGGAGAAAAGCTATCAAAAGCCTTGGCACGGGCTTCCCCTCACCAGGCCCTTTGGGAAGGAACGTTCTAGGAGATGAAACGATCCATAAATCTGTCAGAACTTAAACCTCGTTCCCCAGACAGCAGCCCCCCAAGGAAAGTGGCATTTGATCCCCCAGTAGCCACAGGAGCAATGTCCCCAGTGGTGCAGCTCCTGTCTGTCCAGAGGAGTGTAATTCCACACCCCTCACCTCGTGCCCATGGAAGTCAGGCTCAGCATTAATAAATAAATGAATTTATTCAGACTTATTACATGCTGCCCACAAGACTGAAGGAGAGACAGGCTTCCCAATACAGGAATAATGTAAATAGGAGGATGGTGTCGGGGAAGAGGTTCGCTGGCCACAGGGACAGATGCAGAGTCTGTCAGTCCCAGAGACCACACCCTGAGTTCCAAACAGCTCTTGGAATAAGGAAAGGAGAGGACAGAAAAAAGAAACAGGGCTTGTTTGCTCTGGAAACTTAGAGCAGAAAGTATTCCGAGCTGACAAGACCCAAACACAAATCAATGGAAACTTAATAAGTTTAGGATGGACTGTAGGTTTTCATTTAAATAAATCTGCCATGTACTGATACCACTTGCTTTGCTTACTGAAAGCAAAAGCTGCCTTATTTATATAAATACTTCCATACTTCCAGTACAGCTGCACCACAGTCCTGGGACAAGGCTCCCGAGATGAGCTTACTAGAGAAGAGAAATCCAAAAATGTACTAGGAAATGTCCTTATTCCCAGTAGCTGGCAGAAAACTTGTAAAACGCAGCTAAAAAATTCAATCGCTTGTAGCGCTAAAATCCCGATTCGTGAAGGAAATTCCAAGTCTTCACTGAGAATTTTCACTGACACAAAAGGATTCCGTTCCAGAGATAACACCAGGGACAGGCCCCTGTCTATTATTTCCCAGCTTCCAGCGAGCCCATGTAGGGTATGCCGGGAAGCAGAGAATTCCACGATCCCCGATACCGACAGAGAGTGAGGAAAGGGCTGCAGAGTGTGAGCTGGCTCTTTGGTGAGCCTGTGTCGTCACGAAGGCCTCTCCCTGCACAGAGCTGGAAAGATCTGGAGCAAACAGCCAACAGTCCAGTGCCACCTGTATTTTTAACATCATCCAGTCTCATTTTGGAGGCTTTGAAAAAGGCTCTGGCATGGGAAGAGGAATGGGGAACATCACCCCCAAAGCAGTGCAAACCAAGCCTATTAAAACATCCGTCCCTGCCTTTTTTTTTAGCCAATATTACCAGATGCACAGGGCCATTTTCTGCAGGAGGACTTAGAGGCAGCATTTAATCGGCAGCTGGAGCTGCAGCCCCAGTCCTGCTCCCCCTGCCACTGCTGCGCAGCGAAGGGAACCTCTGAGAAGCCAAGAGAATGACATCAAATGGCGATAATTTGCCTTCAGTGCAAGTTAAATTGTCTGAAAGGCAGCTGTGTGTTTCAATAGCCCTGTGCTTGTCCAAGCATGACCACAGAAGCAGCAGTTTGCTCAGAGGTCTCCTTTAATAACCATTTGTTACTGGAAGGTGCGTTTAATTCACTGCGTATTTCTGTCACTTATTTTAAGTGGGTTCTTTTGTTTAATTGACAGGATAATTCTAGGCAGTGTTGTACTTATGGCTTTGGAAAGTTGTTTTTGTTTTTGGGGTTTTTTTTGTTTTGTTTTTTTTTTTAGAAAGGTAGTTGTGCATAATTTCAGGAGGCGTTTTTGAAATCATAGGGATTCTGCATAAATGGAATTTAAGTTAGTCATTAAAAGTTAAACCAAGGAAAAGGAAAAAAAAGAGAAGCAGTCACCTTTATGCCTGTAGAACCAGGCAACTACTGAGTGAAATGATTTGCTAGGAAGCACTCAGTTACGAGGGTTGGGAATGGATACTGTAAATATATTTTATTATTTAACACTTATTTTCCAATTTCACAATTCGTTTTCTGTAAGTGAGATTAAACTCTAAGAGGCCCAAAGTCACTTTGCACAAAGCATCCACGAGACAATAGGAAGACACTTACAAAACAAAGTACTCCCTTCTCTCCTTTACCACGGTTACTCAAATTCTCGTATGTCATTTTTTAAAAC